TCGTGTTTAGAGACCATAAAGACAAAATGTGACTTCCTAGCGATATGGCAATCCCTACCGATTGTAATGTATCTTTGAAGATCTTCAAAAAAAACTATCAAGATACAAGGATCTTGAAGTGGAAATCTCAAAGATGTAGCAGATGAGGACATCAATAATTCCAGTTGTAGTTTGGAGCCGTCTGGTTGACTAGAAATGTTTCCAATGGACTCATTGAAGGGATCCCTGGCAGCCCATGCCTTAAAGAAATACAAATTGTTCTTACAAGCATAGTTCCCATACAAAAAGGCTTTATCTATGTAAAATGCGTGATCTTTGGTTGTTTTATTTATTTATTTTACAAAAATGTTCAGTGGAAATTTTCATGGGGCCTTTTGGGGTCAATTCGCAACCTGCCAGTGGCTTCGAAGCTAAGGATTTAAGGGGAAAACTGGCGTGTTTATTCTTCCTGCATAAAACCAGAATTTGCTTACACGCAAAAAAAAAGTTATTATCTTGCATTATAGTACGAACCCAAAATATAGGTTCTATGACTAATACCTTGGAAGTATTGATCAGCTTGTCTCAGGATGCTAAACACTCAGACCCAATGAATAAAAAACCCCTCATGACAGGATAGGTTGACGTATGCATTGAAAGGTCTGACATTATTACAGAATAAAAAGAAGGTACACACAAAGATCGAACAATATAAGCAAATAGCTCAGACATTATTATTAGGTTGGTGCAAAAATAATGACGTAATGATGTCGTTTTTTGACGTTAAAATTACGTCAAAAAACGACATTATTACGTCATTATTTTTGCACCAACCTAATATCATAGATTGAAAGGAAAAAAAACGTTTGTACATTTTTTGAGATTAGTATACCAAGTGACAAAAACATCACTTCCAAGGATTTTGAAAAACTAAGCAAATATTAAGAGCTGAAGATTGAAATAGAGAAAATGTGTTACATAAAAATTAAAACTATCCCTGTTAAGATTGGAGCTTTGGGACTGGTGGAGAAAGGAACTCAACAACAAAACAAAAAAAAAACTGGTGCACTATTTCCCCGGGAAATAAAAAAAAAATGATTCTAAAGAAGCACAGTTCATATCTTGCGAAGAGGTTGCACCATTTATGTTTCTTTGTTAATATGCATTTAGTTTAATTAAGTTAAAATAACGAAAACCTCTTTCACTTGACCTAGGCCATTGGTTAAGACCAGGCACGTGATATGTGATCGTAAAACAAAGTTAAGCATAACGTCTGATAAAGAAAAGAACACAACTGCAAATCAACAAAATCCCGTGTGCACGTCAAATCCCTTCCCTACCTTAAAAAGTTATAAAAATAACAGCCCATAACCTGTGAAGCGTTTTCTCTATTTTATTTATATTCATTTCACCCCAAGGAAAGCAATAAAGCCACTAAGATGCAAGTAGTTACTGGGCGTGTAAAAGAATTGGTGTGGTATCCTCCCTCTCAGAGTCTATGTTAGACTCTTCCGCCTACTATAAGTTTAGTAGGAGAGAAGGAAAAGTGAACAGTAAATAGATTGAGCTCTGGTTCATACGATACACTCTTAATAGTCGTGTTATACTCTTCTGACGTACTTACTGTTTAATATAGGATATATCTGCAAACCTGGGTTTTGTTATTAGATAAACATTTACTTGGTCACAACAAGACTGGGAAGGCTCTAGTAAGGAGAAAGGTCAATAAAAGATTGGTGCTGAGGAAAATAGAAGAAAGCAATTGGCGTTGCATTTAGATTTTTGAAGATTCCAGATGGTTGGAAAGACAGAAACTCTTAGAATATGACCTAACGTTGCATACAGCTATTTCAACAGTAAAACGATGAGACATTGACTATCTATCTATCTATCTGTCTCAGCCTGTTTATATCTCTCTATCTCTCTCTCTATCTATCTATCTCAGTCTGTTTATATCTACCTATCTATCTAACAATCAATCTCAATCTGTTTATATCTATCTATCTATCTATCTATCTATCTATCTATCTATCTATCTATCTATCCATCCATCTCAGTCTGTTTATATCTAGCTATCTATCTATATATTTATCTATCTATCTCAGTTTGTTTCTATCTATCTCAGTCTGTTTATATCTATCTGTCTCAGTCTGTTTATATCTATCTATCTATCTATCTATCTATCTATCTATCTATCTATCTATCTATCTATCTCAGTCCGTTTATATCTATCAATCTATCTATCTATCCATCGATCGATCTATCTATCCCAGTCTGTTTCTATCTATCTATCTATCTATCTATCTTAGTCTGTTTATATCTACCTATCTGTCTATCTAACAATCTATCTCAATCTGTTTATATCTATCTATCTATCTCAGTCTGTTTATATCTATCTATCTATCTATCTATCTATCTATCTATCTATCTATCTATCTTAGTCTGTTTATATCTATCTATCTCAGTCTGTTTTTATCTATCCCAGTCTGTTTATATCTATCTTTCTATCTATCTATCTCAGTCTGTTTATATCTATCTATCTATCCATCTATCTATCTAATGTGTGTGTTCGCGAGCATGTATTTATGATTACAATACACAAGCTTAGATCAATGTTACCATTAGACTAGGGACACGGCCATATAAACCTTTCACTGTAAAATGTGTTTAATAATCATCGATGAATTAAGTGCATTGACAAAGCAGATTATGTTGAAAAGTAAATATTTTATGTAAAATAAATGCGTTTTTTATATCATTAAGCTACGAACTTATTGATCTACCTAAGGCTATTTATTTATGTGATTATATATATAAGTGTAAACTTAATTGCCTCTCAATTTATTTTTAATCATCTCACCCCAGCAAGACAATACTACCACTAAGAAGCAAGGGATTGCTGAGTCTGAAAGAATATGATAGATAATGTATATATATAGATCGGTATTGAAAACTTCTATCAAAAAGTTGTTTTTTTTTAAATAAAAACAAGAGAGAAAGAAAAAAATATCTCAGCTTAATAATTTTTCCTTTTATTTTTGACTTGAAAGGACATTTCACTTAAAATCAAACTTCCTGTTGTTTTCTCTCACGTTCGTTTCTACAGAGTAGCATTGTTCCCGCCAAAACACGCGCATGCTCTCTCTCAATGGCCGCCATCACCGCAACATCGTTATGGCGTGTTCACTCTTCTTAGCGCCTCGTAAAACACAAGGTCTTAACTTCTGCATTAAGGCAATAAAATCACGAAACCCTTGATAGGAGGAGCGTATCTAGTCATCTCCGGGAAATAAAAAGGAATGGTTATTTTAGAGAAATATCGTCAAAGGTAGAAAAGAGTTTGGATGAGCGTTGCATTAAAAACACAAAAGGATGGTTCAAAGATTTTATTTTAAATACATCAAAATGGCATTTTTAAAGTAAAAATTCCCGCAGAAGATTATCTCTCAAGGAAATAAAAAAAAATGATTCTAACATGCACAACCCATATCGTGCAAAGAGCTTTGTCCATTTATGTTTTTTTGGTTAATATGTATTTGGGCTAATTAATTTGAAGCAACAAAAACATCACATCTTTCACTTGCCAATTGGTTAGGACCAGGCATGTGATCGTAAAACAAATGCAAGCTTTTCCCCTGATAAACAAATGCGTTTTTTTATATCATTAAGCTACGAACTGCAGATAGATAGATAGATAGATAGATAGATAGATAGATAGATAGATTAAGAAAGACAGAAAGTAAACAGATAGATAGATAGATAGATAGATAGATAGATAGATAGATAGATAGATAGATATAAACAGACTGAGAAAGATAGATATAAACAGACTGATAGATAGATATATAGATAGATAGATAGATAGATAGATAGATAGATAGATAGATATAAACAGACTGATAGATAGATACATAAATCAACAAAATCCCTGATGTTCAATCCCCAAAGAAACTCCGTCCACACAAAATAAATTACAACAAGAAGAGCATTTAACCCAAGAAGCGTTTTGCCCATTTTGTTTTTAATCATTTCACCCCAAGCAAGGTGATAATGCCATTAAGACGAAAGTGGTTACTGGGTGGGTAAGAGAATGCGAAGGCTCTAGTGAGGAGAAAGGTTGAGAAAAAATCGGTGTTGAGAAAAAAAGAGGAAAGCGATTCGCTTTGCATTTAGATTTTTGAAGAGTCTAGTAGGCTGAAAAGACAGAAGCCAGAACAGAATTCTACAGGTAAGAAGTGTGCCAAAAAAAAAGAATCTTTTAGAATATAACTTAGCGTTGTATACAACTATTCCAATAGTAAGACGATTGAGATCTATTGGCCAATCTTGTACCACGATTAAATTCCTGAGGTCAAGTCACCAAGGATCTTCAGAACAATTGCCATTAAATTAATTTCTACAAAAGAAAGACGGAAGCCACGTCAAGCGAGGGGAGAATAACTGAAGTCGAGTTGCCAGGTGAGGACCGATTAAATTGTAGACCCTTTTATATTTTTTTTTCTTGAGAATCTTCAGATATACATTAGAAGCACCTGACCAACCATGACAACAATATTCGGTGCTCGGGAAAATGGTAGATTTATAAATATACAAAGATGGATTCTGTCGAGAAAGAATTGACTGATACGACACAGAGAACCAATGATCTATGTCTACTTTTCCAGCAGCCGATATAGAAATAGATTAAATATTATTCCTCCATTTAATTAACTAGAAACAAAAATAACTCACACCTTTCACTTGGCCGAGACACGGTATGCGATTATATAACAAATCCATGTCTGAAGGATTTTTTAAAATAATAATTGAAATATCCCATATACTAAATCATTGATCTGAGGTTAGGAGCTGAGATGAGGTCATCCTTAACCGAACGAGGCGGAGAGGATGTCGAATATATCAACATGACAATAGTTACCAAGTGGATCTGGGAACTACAAGAATTAACAGGTGGTTCCAGGCTCGTCAAAGCTTCCAAATTCCAGATCAATAGACTTGCTACCGGATGTAGTTTATCGTCATCACCAGGACGACATAGATAGATAGATAGATAGATAGATAGATAGATAGATAGATAGATAGATAGATAGATAGCGAACAGAATGAGATAGATAGACAGATATGAACAGAACGTGATAGATAAGGAACAGAATGAGATAGATAGATAGATAGATAGATAGATAGATAGATAGATGAAGATATGGACACAATGAGATGAATATAAACAAACCGAGATAGATAGATAGATGGATAGATAGATAGATAGATATAAACAGATATAATAGATAGATGAATAGATAGATAGATAGATAGATAGATAGATAGATAGATATTCTTTGATCTACATATACTGAAAGAGTTGTGTGTAGTGATGTGCTAAAGGTTTTTTGAGATGTATAAATATAAATGCAAATGTCATACTTTCATATACTGATACGTGTGTGTATATGTATGTAAGTGCGTGTGTGTGTGTGAATGTGATCTATGAAATATATATATATATATCATTCTCTCTCACTCATTCTCTCTCTCTATATATATATATATATATATATATATATATATATATATATATATATATATATATATATAGAGAGAAGGAGAGAATTATCTATCTATCTATATATATATATATATATATATATATATATATATATATATATATATATACATATTGAGCACTTCTAAAAAAAGTAAATGCTAAGAACTGTGGATTCTTAATCTGTCTGCTCTTTCTCTTTATTTTTAATATATATATATATATATATATATATCTTTCTCTTTAATTTTAATATATATATATATATATATATATATATATATATATATATATATATATATATATATATATATAGGGTGTCTATAAAGTTCGTGTGCATTTTTAAAAATTTATAACTTTATTTGTATTTGCGATAGAAATAATTTGTAAAAAGGATTGGAAAAAGGAAATCTATATTTTTTAAGGTTTTATTGAAATTTTATTTATGCTTCCACATGTCATCCATTATTAGCAATACAAAGGGTATATATATATATATATATATATATATATATATATATAGAGAGAGAGAGAGAGAGAGGCAGGGAGGAGAGAGATATATATATATATATATATATATATATATATATATATATATATATATATATATATTTGGCTACTGGGAGTAAGAAACTAAAATACCCAGAGAATACTATTCAATAATTAATAATAAAAACATATAACATTTTCTACGGTTTATGCATACTTTACGGGTTATTTAGAACCAAAAATGATTTTTAAGATGTAAGATTCTTTGTGTGGGGCGATAATAATGTTTTAGTGATCCAAGTCTAATTAACCCACAGCTGGGGGGAGAAGAGGTGGATTCATAACTTTCTCTTGGGTATTTGCGTGGAAGTGAATATGAGATTCCCCAACTGGAATTAGAACGTAGCCGTCCGATTAACAATTTCGAACCATTAATCATTTCAACCCCCGCACATCCCTGCTTACAGAACCTGTGACTTCCGAAGCGGTCACCCATCTAGGAAATCACCAGGCTCGGCGTTGCTTAACTTCGGTGATCGCATGGGAATCGGTGTTTCAACGTGATGCGGCCGTAAAGAAAGAAAGAAAGAAAGAAACAAGACTAAAAAAAAAGAAAGAACATACAACAGAAGAAAGAAGAAAAAAAGAAAGAACTACAGACAAAATAGAGAAGAAAGGAAAAAAAGGAAGATAGAAACAGAAAGAATAAAGAAAGAAAAACATAGATGAGAAAAGAAAGAAAAGATAACAGAAGATAGAAAAAAGAAGAAGAAAGAAAGCCCAAAATATGCAAAAAGAAAGAAAAACATAGAAGAAAGAAAGAAAGAAAGAAAGAAAGAAAGAAAGAAAGAAAGAAAGATTCTAACAATAGTTATTTTGGAAAGGTTTATTTCCGTAATGCTTTGTAACCGCCTCTATTAGTATAGCAAAGAAAGAAAGAAAGAAAGAAAGAAAGAAAGAAAGAAAGAAAAACAGAATATACAAAAAGAAAGAAAAACATAGATGAAAAAAAGAAAGAAAAGATAACAGAAAATAGAAAAAAGAAAAAGAAAGAAAGACCAAAATATGCAAAAAGAAAGTAAAACATAGATGAAAGAAAGAAACGATAAAGAAAGAAAGAAAGAAAGAAAGAAAGAAAGAAAGAAAGAAAGAAAGATTCTAACAATAGTTATTTTGGTAAGGTCTATCTCTGTAATGCTTTGTAACCGCCTCTATTGGTATAGCAAAAAAGAAAGAAAGAAAGAAAAGAAAAGAAAAGAAAGAAAAAAGAAAGAAAAGATTCTAACAATAGTTATTTTTTGGTAAGGTCTTTCTCTGTAAAGCTTTGTAACCGCCTCTATTGGTATAGCAAAGAAAGAAAGAAAGAAAGAAAGAAAGAAAGAAAGAAAGAAAGAAAGATTCTAACAATAGTTATTTTGGTAAGGTCTTTCTCTGTAATGCTTTGTAACCGCCTCTATTGGTATAGCAAAGAAAGAAAGAAAGAAAGAAAGAAAGAAAGAAAGAAAGAAAGAAAGAAAGAAAGAAAGATTCTAACAATAGTTATTTTGGTAAGGTCTTTCTCTGTAATGCTTTGTAACCGCCTCTATTGGTATAGCAAAGAAAGAAAGAAAGAAAGAAAGAAAGAAAGAAAGAAAGAAAGATTCTAACAATAGTTATTTTGGTAAGGTCTTTCTCTGTAATGCTTGTAACCGCCTCTATTGGTATAAAAGAAAGAAAGAAAAGAAAGAAAGAAAGAAAGAAAGAAAGAAAGATTCTAACAATAGTTATTTTGGTAAGGTCTTTCTCTGTAATGCTTTAAACCGCCTCTATTGGTATAGCAAAGAAAGAAAGAAAAGAAAGAAAGAAAGAAAGAAAGAAAGAAAGAAAGAAAGAAAGAAAGATTCTAACAATAGTTATTTTGGTAAGGTCTTTCTCTGTAATGCTTTATAACCGCCTCTATTAGTATAGCAAAGAAAGAAAAGAAAGAAAAGAAAGAAAGAAAGAAAAGAAAAAAGAAAGATTCTAACAATAGTTATTTTGGTAAGGTCTTTCTCTGTAATAACTTGTAACCGCCTCTATTGGTATAGCAAAGAAAAGAAAAAGAAAGAAAGAAAGAAAAAAGAAAAGAAAAAAAAAAAAAAGATTCTAACAATAGTTATTTTGGTAAGGTCTATCTCTGTAATGCTTTGTAACCGCCTCTATTGGTATAGCAAAGAAAGAAAGAAAGAAAGAAAGAAAGAAAGAAAGAAAGAAAGAAAGGGTAACAGAAGATAGAAAAAAGATAATGAAAGAAAGAAAAGAAAAGAACAAAAAAGATATAAAAAAAATAAGAATACACAAAAAAAAAACACAGTGACAGAAAGAATAGATAACAAGATAGAAAAAAAGAGGAAGAAAAAGCAATCGAAGATACTTGAACAAAGAAAGAAGGAAAGAAAAGCACTCGAAATAAAAAAGAAAGGAGTACAGACAGAAAAAGAAAGAAAGGAATCTTCACTTTTCTAACTATCGTCAGCGCATTTCAAATACAAAAAAAAAAATTTAAATAGGATAATACGGAAAACTCTTGTGAAAAACAAGTGCAAAGAAAAAACACGAATTACCGAAAAAAAATAGAATCCGAGATTATCCTAATGGAATATTCTTTAAAAAATTCTTAGAAAATGTCGAACCCATAAGAAGCAACCATTTAAGTAAGAATCAAAGAGCCGAGAAGGATTATTGCCTTGTTTCTATGGCATCACGTCAGTTTGCAAATGGATATATTGACAGGCTGATGTCATCGATTCTATCAATGTTAATAAGAAAACGAATAAACGCTTATCGGAGAAGGCACGGTAGAGTTACGAGAATTCCAATCGTAACCCCAGCAGTGATGACAACAGTTGACGATTACAAACAAAATTAAAACCGAATATATCGAATGCCACCCGATTCCCTGTCTTTCAGTAGTGTATTCTCTTTTACAATAAACCTCTCTTTCTTTCATCTACGAGAGTGTTACTGTACCTTCACTTGAGTACCACCTTTGCCTGGTTGTAACCTCTTACAACTTATATATCTTACAACTTCTCACCATTCTTAACAGATCTTCTGTTGTCATAATGTGGAATATTTAATAACAAAAAGAATCCAAATGAAATTGGCTTGATTATAGATCCAGAACTCACTTAAAAAAACTAAATTAAAAAAATCCTTCTCGTTCGTGCGCATGTGTAGTCGCCTTAACGTAAACAAATTTATTCCGATGAAGTTACAAAAGAGATATATGAATAAGATTAATAATAAATCATATTAAGATAATCTATATTAAGTAAGAATAGATTTAAAAACAATTATAATAAAGAATTAAATAAATTAAAGATAAAATAAATTATCCATATATAACTTTAAAGATAAGGTAAATTATTAAGAAAATCAAACCATACCTATATATATATATATATATATATATATATGTGTGTGTGTGTGTGTGTGTGTGTGTGTGTGTGTGTGTGTGTTAGACTAACAGAAATAGTAAAATATTTTTAAAACTGAACGTATTAAAAGTCCTCAATACAAAGTCGGAAGACCAAACTTGCAGACCAGCTCCCACTACCGCGGTTTCAACCTCTACGGTCTCCTCAGGTTCAGCAACTCAATAATTTAAGCACTTTCGAAACCGGAAGTTGTGGGGAAAATTTTTTTCTAACTCTAACCGAGGCTCTAATAACCCCAAGATGAACGCCTTAAAATGTCTGCATTTACTTATGATCTCTAACCTTCCATTATATTCGTCTTTAATTTTCTTAAAATGCTCTATTTAATGTTTGGACTTTTGCTACGTTTCTCATAGCTTACTAGTTTCGTGCTGTACATATGCTCCGGAATTCTTAAAGCAGAGACGTGATCACCACTTATATATATATATATATATATATATATATATATATATATATATATATATATATGTATATATATATATATATATATATATATATATATATATATATATATATATACAGGGATATAAGAGATTTTCTCTGGGTCCCAAATTAGAGCCTGTGTTAATGTATATAAAACAGACCAAACCCGGATATAAGAGATACCGGATATAAGAGACTTCGTCTCCGGTCCCGACAACTCTCTTATATCCGGGTTACACTATATATATATATATATATATATATATATATATATATAAGTTATGAAAACTTGGTAATCCCAAGGAGGATGAAATCCTGAGAGCAGAATGTAAATCCAGAGCTAATATTTTAAATAACTGTCTTTTACAATATTAAAAGAGTACTATTGGTCGGGTGAACAAACTGTTATAGTTTAAATTTCTTTTTTAATATGTTCTCTATGAATGTGTTAATAAATACAGTATTTAACTTATATTAAATCCCTAAATTATTTGTAAAAAAGTTAAATATTTAAATTGCTAGCAAGCATCAAATTAATTTCTTCGTGGAATTTTTAAGACATCTAAATTACTATCAAACATTAAAATCTATTTTTACATAAATTGCTAAAACATACCACCCCTCTCCTCCATAAACCCATTTACAGCCTCTCTTTACTTCCTTCTCCCTCTTTTTCTTTTTCCCTTTTTCTTTTCTTTATTTTCCCCTCCCATTTTAATATGCCCATCTGATAGTGTGATAATCTAATCCCTGCTGTAGACGCCTGCTCAGGTAGATTTTGCGTCTTTTCAACACCCACAGAGCCCACCTGTGAATTACACCGCAACTATGCTGAGCAGACCTTAGTTACAGTTTCTGGGGGACAGCACATAATCCGGCGCGATTACCAGCATCAACATGGCTAGTACACGTAAAACCTTGGTCACAATGACTTGATATTTTGTTCTAGCACAACAGTCCTATTTACCCTGTTTCACTCAATATTTCTTATGGCTTTTCAGGCATTTCCCGATGCTGCCACGCCCAGGAATCATCTCCTCGAGCCGATATTACAAAGAAGTCAGCTCCTTGCGAGATTCGAACTCGGACCTCATGATCTGAATACTAACGTTCTAACCACTCAGCCACACGTCTATATAAAATATTGCCAGCTACTCAACGACCCATGAAGATATCGGTTTTCCTTTATGAAAAAGATTTAGTTAACTAATTACAAGTTTTTGACATTTTTAGTTATTGACCGACCTGGGATATTTTGGAAAGGTCATGAAAATGAGAGAAACAATACGAAGATGCCGAAAAGAAAAGAAGAATATTTGACAACGTTTGAAATTATTAAATATTCCTATTTCGGTTTGAGGGTCAACGGTTATTAGAGACCCCAGAATGCGCATCGGAGAAATGTCAGACGTTTTGGCACATTGTAAATGGTATAATTGGTTTTATTTTGTTTTTTGTTTTTCTTTGTACTGTTGCAACAATGATAGATAGGTACGATGAATTATCGGAAAAAAAAACGTATGTACATTGTCCTGAGAAAATTTTTTAGACAGGAAAAATAAACTACTTCAAATTTGAAAATTTAATTACATAACCCCAACTCAAATAAAAAAATATTTGAAACTAGTATAGAGTAGGTTCTTCATTTACTAATTTCAGTGTTTGTATTCGATTTTTCATGAATTTGATCAAGTTATGAACAATCGTCTGATCCATATTTTGCCACTTTTTTAGCAATTGTTCTTTAAGGGTTGCCACGGATGTGATTTTGGTTGCACGCTCTCGAATTTTTTGTTCAAGGTGTTCCCAAACGGGCTCTATTGGATTCATGTCAGAGCTTTTGGCTGCCCATGGCAGTGACTTGATTCCTTAGGATTCCATCCAGGCCTTTGCTACTTTGCTCGTATGACATGTCACTCCATCCTCTTGAAAAAGGTAGACATACTTGTCAATCTGTTTGGTTCCAAATAGTGGGAGTAGTCCGTTCTCTAATATTTGACAGAATTTTGAACCATTCAACATGTCAACAAGAATCAACTCAGATTTCTCTCCAAACCAGACAGCACCCCACACCATTACTCCAATCCCTCCATGTTTCACGGTCGCCTGTAGACATTCAGTGTTCCAAGCCTCATTCTGATTTCTCCAAACATAAACTTGTCTCGAAATCGAATATTGACAGAATTTACTTTCATCTGACCAAATTACAGACTGCTAAAATTCATAATCTTTACTCTCGAATGCTCTCGCCCTGTCCATACTCCTGTTCCCGTTAACCTCTGAAATCAAGGGCTTCTTTCTTGCAACTCTTCTTTGATAGCCTAGCTCTTTCAGAGTCTTTCTCACTGCATATGGCAACATTTCCATGCCGTTGCTGACATCTTTGATGCTCTGACAACGGTTTCTGATGACTTCCCTCTTCAGCGCCATTTTCGTTCGCTCAGACACGATGCTTGGTCTTCCTGAACGTTGTTCCACACGACAATGGACTTCTTCATTACATTTCTTGACGATATTATTAACTCTTTGATGATTAACCTGGAAAAACCTAGCAATTTCTCTATTTAACTTGCCACACTGATGCAATCCTATTATTTGCCCTTGTTGAAATTCATCAATTTCCTTACTTCCGCGAACTTTCATTGCAAAATATAAGTCAACTATCGTTCATGAGAGTAGCTTGATACTAACAAGGTATTGTCTGGGAAAAAAAGAAGAGACGTTATTACACAAGTCAAAATTGCTGTAATCAAGGGCGGCTAAAAATTTATCAGAACCCATTGTAAAATGGAATACATGAAGGCCAGTTAGATGTTTAACATTTTTATTTTCTTGTTGAAGTTTCACCTATTTTACGAGAGCATTATCAAAAGTTAACTGAAAAATAACTTTTAAAAAAAAAAGCTTCACCCCAAGCAAGGTGACAGTGCCACAAGAACACAAGGGGTTTCAGGGAGTGAAAGTGAAAGATTCAAAATGGGGAGGACTGAGAAAAGGACAAAAAATGGAAGTCAGATGGCAAATTATATTTTGTAGTTATCAAGGAAGCCAGAAATCTGTTATAGTGAAACATACCTATTCTATAGTTAATAGACTCTCCCACCTAATATAAGTAGGAATAGTAAGAGAAACGAGGGTCAGTCAGTGTAGGGCAGATAAGAACCCGGACGAGGCTATGCCGAAGGGCAGAGTCTCGTCCGGGAAGTGAAGATGAGGATTTATACATTTCCCAAGGGTATTAGCAGGTAAGTGAATATAACGGATTTGACTGGAATTCGAACTCGGCCCTCCGATTCCGGAGTCCGAGCCGCTATCCATTACTCCACCGTACTTCGACAAAGAATAATACGAAACCTTCGCCTCATTGATTTTTTTTATAAATTTTTTTATCTTCATTTGTCTTTATTTATTTATTTATTTATTTCTCTCTCTCTCTCTCTCTCTCTCTCTCTCTCTCTCTCTCTCTTTTCATTTTATTTATTTATTTATTTGCCTGCGATTAATCTCGAACCCAGGTCATCGGTGATCGTGATGACGAGGTGGATTGAAACAGTGAGACTAATGCCCAGGACAATCAAGATGGCAAAGAATGATAATGACTGTTGTCATTGAATTGGTAAGTTGGATGCTTCCTGTTGGTGTTCATCGTATGTACGTTCCTGGAGATCTTATGAAGGGGGGTGATGCTTTTACTTTCGAACTATTTCCTCCCACCACTGATTTGACGGCGTCTGATTGCCTCTTCGCCAAACTGTTTTTATTCAAATCTCCGACTTCACAAAGCCTAAATTTAACTTTGAAATAAATTACAGAAAACGGTCGGAATTTTAACGACGAATACTGTCCGCGAAATTGACTGCCTTTCTTGTTTATTTGGCGAAGAAAAGAGAAAATGCTTGGGAAGGGGATTGAGAACAAATCCTTCGACGAGGGAGAGGAACGATTTGGCAAAGATACGTGGACGGTATACTGAAGTCAATGGCCGTGTGTATCGTTGTTGGTTAGAAAGATACAGAGATTCGCCGAGTCTGGCTCAGGGATAGATGTATTGAAGATTATATAGCTCCAATTATTTCGTGTTTGAAAAGCTTGTATATATAAACTGAATTTTTAAAAGACATTTAGAAATTGACGAAGAATTTTTTTTTTTTTTTCTCTTTTTAAGTTTTTCCAGCTTTCGTATAACTTATACGCATCCAAGTTAAGATCAAGATATGGGAACTTTAAATTGATTTTAATTTCGTATCCAAAACGTAAACAAATTAATTTCTATGGAAGTGCTTCGTGGCTGAACAAACAAAAGACAAGTCAGTTTATAGGGTAATTTTTTCTATATAAGATTATAGGGTAATTTATAGGGCAGTATATAGGTAATTCATAGGGTAATATCTAAAAGAATTATAGGGTAATATATAATCTATATAAGGTAATTTCTGTATATAAGATTATAGAATAATTTATAAGGTAATATAGAGGTAATTTATAGGGTAATATATAGAGTAATATATAATAAGATTATACGGTAATATATATTCTACATAAGGTTATAGGGAAATTTTCACTATATAAGATTATTGGGTAATTTATAGGGTAATATATAATAAGATTATAGGTAATATATAATCTGTATAAGGTTATGGGGCAATTTTCTTTATATAAGATTATATGGCAATTTATAGGGTAATATATAGGCAATTTATAGGGCAATATATAAGGTAATGTATAATAAGATTATAACATAATACATAACCTATATAAGGTTATAGGGTAATTTTCTCTATATAAGATTATAGGGTAATTTATAGGGTAATATATAGGTAATTTATAGGGTAATATATAGGGTAATATATTATAAGATTATAGATTATATAGAATATATAATCTATATAAGGTTATAGGTTAATTTGCTCTATATAAGAGGGACTCAATTTCAAATGCTGTCAAAGTGCAAATTTGTCCCTTTATTCATCGTAAAACGCAGTAAGATAGACGTCAATTATTCTGTTCAAAACGCAGAGATGCCTACTCTAACATATGTATCCACTTAATGAAATTATTATAACTACTAGTTTTATACTCCTGGTAGGACCACCTTTGGCGGTAAAGACGAGGACCTAGACAAAGCGCCACCAACCCCAAAGACCCCATCGGTGGAACAAGCAGATGATGATTACAACAGATCTCAGCATTTGAACCAGGTGATGATGAGGGCTACGCATGACAGATATTCTACAGAAGGCGCCACTCAAAATTATAACAGAGTCGGCGGTATTCCCTTGCAGTTTCATAAACTGGATTCTGTACATATGTGCCGCAGAGGAAGGCCATGAAATCAAGTGCGTGTGTCACTTCCTGGGAAGATGAGGACCACCTTAAAAAAAAAAAGACAGCGGTACTTTTTTCTACTTTGATTTACTTTCACCTCCAACCAACTCTTTCGGAGCCAAACGGCGATAGGGAATGGATGACGGGAGAATATTTTGGTGAATCTAGAAGCTTCTAGTCCAGCACGTTGGCAGTGAATTCAGTCATTAACGCCATATTCATATAGGAAGCGATCAGCAAAGAAGAACTTAAATTCTTGAATAGGAGATAAAGCCGACGACGAGTCAGGAGAAACACCGTTTTAATTATGTATACATATATATTTATGTCAGAATTTGAGCATTTCTTAAAAAAAATGACAAGATGACGTTAAAAAAACTGGTCACAGGAGAATTTGAAATCCGACGATAACATGAGAAACGGATACTGATAGCAGACACGGAAAAGAAATTGTAAAACACCCTACAGAAGCTAGCGACGGAGAATGAGAAGAAAGGACTAAGCATAAACTACAAGACAGAATGAATGGTCATCAGTAAGAGGATAAGCCCGAAATACGATTTACAGGTCGGGGACACTAAAATCAAGCATGTACGGGAAATTTAAATATCTGGGAAGTGTTTTGACAGAGGACGGCAAGAGCGACACTGAGATCCGAAGACGTATTGGGATGGCCAAAGACGAATTCAAAAAGCTAGGCAGAGTATTACGAGACAGGAGGATTTCGTTGGTAACAAAGTAAAAGTCCTGAACTACTACGAGATACAGGTCAGGGACACTAAAAAATCAAGCAGGGGCGGAAATTTAAATATCTGGGAAGTGTTTTGACAGAGGACGGCAAGAGCGACACTGAGATCCGAAGACGTACTGGGATGGCCAAAGACAAATTCTAAAAGCTAGACAGAGTATTACAAGACAGGAGGATTTCGTTGGTATCAAATAAAAGAGTCCTGAACTACTACGAGATACAGGTCGGGGACACTAAAATCAAGCATGTACGGGAAATTTAAATATCTGGGAAGTGTTTTGACAGAGGACGGCAAGAGCGACGCTGAGATCCGAAGACGTATTAGGATGGCCAAAGACGAATTCTAAAAGCTAGACAGAGTATTACGAGACAGAAGGATTTCGTTGGTAACAAAGTAAAGAGTCCTGAACTACTACGAGATACAGGTCGGGGACACTAAAATCAAGCAGGGGCGGAAATTTAAATATCTGGGAAGTGTTTTGACAGAGGACGGCAAGAGCGACACTGAGATCCGAAGACGTATTGGGATGGCCAATGACGCATTCCAAAAGCTAGGCAGAGTATTACGAGACAGAAGGATTTTGTTGGTAACAAAATAAAAGAGTACTGAGCTGCTACGTGATATCTGTACTCCTTCACAGCAGCGAATGTTGGACGCTCTCCTCACTTCCGGTGTATATATTTATTATTATTATTATTATTTACACATTTCTTTCCGTGTCCCGCCCAGGGACCTAAGGTTAGAAATGGCATCATGACACTTTCCACTGATAAAAAATAAAATTACATTAAGCCCTTCGTAAAGTGTGGGCTTTAGTTGTCAGGACAATTTTTTATATTTCTTTGAGGCATGGACTTCCAGGAATTCCTTCAATTAGTCTACTGGAATCTTTTCCAACCAATCCTAGGGCTCGAACTACAAAAGGGATTGTTGATGTTCCCATATGCCACATTTTCGAGATTTCTACTTCAAGGTCCTTGTATTTTGACAACTTTTTGAATATCTTCAAAGATACATTGCAGTCAGCAGGGAGTGCCATATCAATAAGGAGGCACCGTTTTTGTTTGTGATCATTAATAACAATATCTGAGCGGTTGGCTTTGATTGTTCTGTCGGTGTGTATTGTATAGTCCCATAGAATTGTAACAGGTCCTATCTCCGTAACCGGGTCTGGGTGGTGTTCATTATTATTATTATTATTATTATTATTATTATTTCCTTTGATTTCTGGTGTATATTCATTCCTTTCTGGGTCCTCACCAGAGACCTAAAGGCAGAAAAGCTATCATGACATTTTCCACTGAGCAATTTTGAAAAATTTATTATTTTTATTATTATTATTATTATTATTCCTTTGATTTCTGGTGTATATTCATTTCTTTCCGGGTCCCGCCCACCGACCTAAGGTCAAAAATGGCATCATGACATTTTCCACTGAGCAGTTTTGAAAAAACAAAAAAAACAAAGCATATTTTACATAGATAAAGCCCTTCGTAAGGTGTGGGCTGTACTCGTGAGAACATCTTTTTGTATTTCTTTAAGGCATATGCTTCCAGTAAGTGAGCACTCTTAAGAATAGTAATTGTTGGTTATTGGAATTTATTACGTATACACCAATCATATACTTGTATATATATATATATATATATATATATATATATATATATATATATATATATCGAACCTGTATCCTATATATATGGAGAATTGTTGTTTACAAACAGTAAAATCGACCTTACTAACCGAAACGCTCCTCTTTGGCTCAATCGGTAAAAGCACGTCAGGCTATATCACGGTTCCGTATTTCAGGCTGAAATACTAATTCGCGTACGATCAGCGAAGTTAAGTTGATCGCTTGGTACCGTAAGCATGGATGTACGGGTGGTGTAATGGATAATTTGAAATCGGAGAGCCGAGTTCCAATTCCAGTTGGTTTCATTATATTAACATCGCACAAATACTTCTACTCCCCCCACCCAGATATGGGTCTATTAATAGGACTTGTATCATTAAATCGTTACTATCTCGAAAAAAGACTTTTCACAATCTAAAAATATCTTCGGGCTTTAAATAACCTACAAAAGATTGATAAACAGTAGCAAAAACAACGGAATGGTGCTGGGCTATAAACATACAAAGCCCAAAATACCAACAGAAAGACCAATCATTGTCTGAATATTATTATTATTGTCATTATTATTATCATTATTATTATTATCATTATTATTATTATTTCATCCTTTTTCTTTTCTTCTTTTTCTCCGTCGTTGGTCTTTAACTTCTTCTTCTTCTTCTTCTTCTTCTTCTTCTTCTTCTTCTTCTTCTTCTTCTTCGTCTTCATCTTCTTCTTCTTCTTCTTCTTCTTCTTCCTCTTCTTCTCCTTCTCCCTCTTCTACTACTGCTACTACTACTCATTCTTCTTCCTCCTCTTCTACTCATTCTTCCTCTTGTTTTTTCTTCTTCTTCTTCTTGTTTTACTTCTTTTTAACTTCTTTTTTCTTCTTCATCTTCTTCTTCTTCTCTTTCTTCTACTACTGCTACTATTACTATTACTCATTCTTCTTCTTCCTCTTCTACTCATTCTTCCTCTTCTTCTTCTTTTTCTTCTTCTTCTCCTCCATCTCCTACTGCTACTACTACTCATTCTTCTTCCTCATTTTCTACTCATTCTTCGTCTTGTTTTTCCTCTTCTTCTTCTTTTACTTCTTTTTATCTTCTTTTTTTCTTCTTCTTCATCTTCTTCTTTTTTTTCTACTTTTGCTACTACTACTACTACTCATTCTTCTTCCTCCTCTTCTACTCATTCTTCTTCTGCTTCTTTTTCTTTCTCTTCTTCTTTCTTTCTTCTACTACTACTCATTCCCCCTTCTTCTCTTCTACTTATTCTTCTTCTTTATCTTCTACTTCTTCTTCTATTTCTTCTTCTACTTCTTCTTTTCTTCTGATTAATCTTCTTTTTTCTTCTTTCTCTTCCACTTCTTCTTCTCATTCTTCTACTTATTATTTCTTTTTCTTTACTTCTTCTTCTTCTTCTTCTTCTATTTGTACATCTTCTTTTTCTTCCTCTTCTTGTTGCATGTATTTCCTTTTTCTGAAACGTTCTTAAAAACGTTACCGCTTCCGCAAAAAGTCCCCTCCTTTTTTTTTTTCTGTCCTACAGTTACCCATTTCTCATTCTTTTTCCCTCAACTTTTCCTATCCCCCCCCCCCGCTGTCACGCATTCGCTAACATAGCCCAGGGATTAGAGATTGCTGTGTTTATTTTAATTTCTCTCTTGTTTTCTAGTAAATTAAGCCGACGCGAGATTCGCCATTAAATTACATTACCATTTCAATTAAGCGCCGTTCCATCGGCCGGACAAACGGGTTTCTCGACGCTCAGATCACGTGAGCCATATTGGCGGGAAGGCACAGAGGCGGAGACAACGGAACTTAGATAGCAAAAATTAGCCTCACTCTCCACTGACAT